GACAAACAGCTGATCAGCTGTTTGTCGGCTCAGCACGGCAGCCATGTACATTTAAATGAAGCCGCGATCATTTAAATCGCGGCTTCATTTGCCTTTGCCAAAACAACAAATCAACATGGCTCCGTCGACGGAGCCATGTAGTTTAGACGTACCCTAAATGTCAGAAAAACAAGAGGCAGATAAACCTGCCTTCCCTTCCTACCATATTGTCCAAACTTCTCGTTAGAGATAGTTAGAGTGCCCCCGTCTGGCCAAGTGTGTGTGCATGCACTCTCAGTCTTTTAACAGCCTTACGGCTACTCAGCCCTTGGCCGGGTCACGCCCTATGTGAATCAAGCACCCCTTCCGGGGTACATCTTTAGCAGGCGCCCATCTTGGTGCCCCTCTGTATAGTCTCTCAGTCTATTCTCCACTTGGGTAGAGTGGTACCTTCAGAGCCACCCCTCCTGGAAACAGTGTCCTCACCCTTACCATAGGGCTCTATCACAGTTCACCATATAGCCTCTCCATAGTCCACCATCTCTAACCAGCCCCCCACTTGGAGCTGTCCATGGTGCTATCACTCCCTCAGCCAGCCAGTCACCCCACAGGTCGACAGATTTTTTAAACCTTTCGGCTGCGTCTAGATTGGCATGATTTTCCAGAAATGCTTTTCAGAACAGAGCGTCTAGATTGGCACGGACGCTTTTCCCCAAAACCACTTTTTGCCATTTTCGTGATCAGGGCTTTTTTGCGGAAAACAAATCTGAGCTGTCTACACTGGCCCTTTTGCGCAATAGCTTTGCGCAAAAGGGACTTTTGCTTGAATGGGAGCAGCATAGTATTTCCGCAAGAAGCACTGATTTCTTACAGTAGGAAGTCAGTGCTTTTGCGGAAATTCAAGCGGCCAGTGTAGACAGCTGGCAAGTTTTTCCGGAAAAGCGGCTGATTTTCCGGAAAAACTGGCCAGTCTAGTCACAGCCCTTCAGATCTGGGCTGCAACTGACTGTTGCCTCTGGGCTGCAACTAACTGACTGTAGCACCTTTTATAGGCCTTTCTGGCTCCTGATTGGCTGGTTCCTCCACAGCCACTCTAGCCTCCTTGGGGGAACTTCTCTATGGCCCTTTTCTGGCCTCAAGCCTTTGGTCCTCCCCATCACAGTAACCTACAGATGACATCTCACGAGCCTGGAGAGGCTCAGGAGGATTCTCAGGACCAGCTGGGAAGACCAACGCACTAACATCAGCGTTCTTTCTGCAAAACATCCTCGGGATAGAACTGCAGGTCTTGAACCACCAACTCCACAGGGCTGGACACGTGTACCTGTGTCTGAGACTTGCCTCCCATAGTAAGAGCTCTTCTCTCAGGTAAGTCAAGGAAGAAGGGCTCATGAAGAGCAACGGAAGCACTTCAAAAACACACTGAAACTACCCCTTAAAAAGGGAGGCACCAGCCCAACAAAATGGGAGGACTCAGGGCAGAAGAAAACACAGCCGAGGAGAACAAATGTGCTCATGAGAGAGAGAAGCAACAAAGGAGGGAATAAAGGGCACAGCCATTCAGCCAACCACCATGTCTCCTCCAAGACTGCACCTCTCACTTCTGTAGGAAAATCTGCAGAGCACAAATCGGGCCCCTCAACCACTTAAAAACCCACCAGTGAATCCCCCTTGGCAGACATCATCCTCTCATGGAGGGATAGTCAAGACAAAGAAAGCCTAATCATATACTCCTCTTTTAAGATGGGCGTCTGTCATTTCCGATTTGAATGCTGGATTTTTCTCCTAGTGTCTGTTTTCCTCCAGACATTCTAATCGATATGCATTACGAGGTCACTGATTATGATTTATTTAGAAAGTAAATGTCCCTGTTACATCATTTGTTTCAGGAAAGCTACCCTGGTCTTTGAATTGTCATTTACGTGGACGTATTTTGACAAGATCAGATGCCTTGTAGAGTTAGTGCCCGTTCCAGCGATATGCCTTATTCCTACAATAGGGATATTCCTAGAGCCAGTTGGACCTTTAGAAGTGAGATGGGTGTGTCCACTACATGTGAAGCTCTGTCTTGTCTTTGCTAAGATCCACAGTATAGGGGCATCATGGCAGGGAACTATATAGTGTTCCCAAGTCATGGTCATCAATGTCTGTGTGCTCCCATCTTAAGAAGTGAGGGGCATGGTCTTTACACAGATTTGCAGGGGCACTGATAACCTCTGCTGGCCCCTGGACAAGGTGTGAGGGGGGGCTCCCACTCCCAGAAAGGGTGGAGCCTCAGTCGGAAGGGGTGAGGCTAGGGCAGTCAGCCCTGGTAGCCGTGGGAGCACACCATGCTGGCCCCCAGGCAGTGTACCTCCCATCTCCCAGCCCTTAGCGCTGCCCGGAGCATGCAGCATGATACTCCAGTGGTGATTTAAAGGACCTGGCGCTCTGACTACTGCCAGTGCTGCAGTATCACTGGTGGCATCCAGAAGTCCCAGGCCCCTTTGAATCACCTGGCCCTGGGGCAACTACCCCTTTTGCCCCCTCCCCTCCCGCTGGCAGGCCTGTAGATTTGCACCTGTAAATAACTTCTGAGCATGTAAATCCAGGGGTAAATACCAAAAGGCCAGATTCGGCCACTTACTCACAGTGAGTATTATATTACTACTTGAACCGTCTTACGAAACTCCATCTCAATCTGATTTCAAAAGAACTACTCCGAGATTAGAACTGCTCCGTGTGAACGTGGCAGGATCTGGTTTTAAGTGATGGAGCAAGTTCCTTTTTAGAGGTAACTTTTAGAGGTAAACTGCAGCCCTCAGAAACTCCCCAAGAGAACTTAAGTTCCCTACCAGGAAAAGGAAACCTTCATCGAGCAGGCTCACATTTTTGGAATTGTGGTACACACTCACCCTCACTAAACACTGATAGACAGAGTGTACCACAATTTCTGAAGCTTTACAGATCAGCTGCTGATTCTTCCAGGTTGGCTTTGCTACAATTAACATTAAGCGCCACTTAACCCAAATACTCATTTCAAGAACAGCCTGCTTTATGTCGCAAAGTATAGTCCATGCCTTCCTTGAAAGTGAAAAGCCGAGGCACTGTACCATTGGCTATGGGTTTGTTTTTCAGATTCCACATTGCGATGTCATCTGCGCTTGCCGTTGCTAGGTTACCTGGATATGTAATGAAATTATAGCAGTGCAGAAAAATCAGCCAAAGACAAACCAGCAACGGCAGAGTTTACTATAGGGAAAGTAGGACATTTCAACATAGCCAGCTCCATCCTTGCAGCAGCCTATGTTGGCTGTCTGGCTGCTCCCAGGGTGGGCAGGACTTGAACTTATTCCCTAAGACACTCTAGAACTCACCCCACTGCTAGACCTTCATTCTGTTTTGACGCCGAGGCAGTGTGATGTAGTAGTTAGTGCAGAGGATGGGAATTCAGGTCTCCTGGATTCTCTTCCCAAATCTGGCATAGCCATGACCAAGCCACGTAACCGTTCTGTGGTTCACTTGCCCCAGCTGTAACATAAATAAATGAATGAGTCGGTCAGGTCAGTTGACTAGCACTTGGAGAGCCTCAGTCCAGTCAAATGTGCTACTGGTCTCCGCAGGTGCATCTTTCTGCCGGCACCTGAGTTAATTATGCCCCCACAAGGCAGGAATACACCACAACATGTCTGGCAGTGGACACCATCTTTCAGATTTGATATGATTTCCATTACAGACTGTTTTCCTCTCCTGCCCAAACCTATAAAACTTATCACACAAGCCTGGAAACATTTCACGTGAGAAGGGGGGTATCACCACAGGCACTCTGAGAACTTGGCCTGAGCAAGCCTAACGCCACCAGGCAGAACTGAACCTGGGACCTCTGGAGCATAGTGTGTGAGCCTCCCCAGCCTGAGCTAAAAGCCAGCTACCTCTCAGCGAAGGCTGTTGAGCAAACTCAAGATTCTCTCTGTAAGTGGTCTCAGTGCCTCTTAGCTGGGACAGTGCGCCACCCCCAGTGTGGTGGGTGGGTTACACAAAGTAAGGCAGAGATAGGGTTGTTACATCCTGGGGCAACATGGCCAAGGCAGAGTGAGATTTAACATGGCATTGCAAATGGAAGGCGAAATCCTTCCAAGGAGAAGAGAGAACAGAATTCAAAGGAGGGAGTGTTTGAGGACAGCGAAAGGGCTTCATTTTTAATGTGCTCTCCGCCCATCAGCTATTCAGTGGAGAATGTAGGCAAAAAGAGCCAGCCTTAGCCCTGATCACAATGCCTGCCCTGAGAGCTGTGCTCAGTGTTTTGTGATGTCTGCTGCCCTGCAGGCATGCGCCCCGCCTCTTTCAAAGCTCTAGGAAGTATCTGACAGCTGAGTGAGCTGTTCCTTTTGAGGAACAAACAAAGAGCAAATCATTGAAATGCTCCTGTTCTGTCCTGCTAGGAACACAGCAACAGGCAGATGCTGCTGTATGGGGAGGACTGGAAAGGCTGCTGTGACCTTCCTCAGCATGGAGAGTTCACAGAGCTACCGGGGAAGCCCAAGAAGTTCAGGGATCATCTCTGCCTTCCCACCACACTGTCCTGTGGGATGCTTACCCACAATGCTTTGCTCTATCTGTCGAGAAGGGAGCTAGCAGTGTGGCCACAAAATGTTGACAATGGGCGGCAGAAAAACCATTTTGATTAGTTTTCACTTTTGGCGACTTTTGCATGACAGCAGCACTTTGGTTGCCAAACCTTTCCAGTGTGGACAGAGCAGATTCACTGGAATCCCAGCTGTTACCAGGGGCAGATGGTACAGAACTTTGATATAATGACAGAGGTCTCTCAAACCAACCATAACGAGATAGGAGCTGACCAACGTGTGGTGTGAAACGTTTGTTACGAAATCACACAAACTTAGTGACAGACCCTGCAGCCATGCACCAGCTCAGTGTAATTGCTCGGCCTAAGAAAATCATGAGAAGTTCATATTTTCCACCTAAAACTAGCGACAAACACAGGCGAGTGGAACGTGGTTTTCCAAACCCAAATCATCACATCTGGGGGTCAGAGACTCAAAGCTAAACTTTGGTTTGGAGCCCAAGTTCCTCTGTAGCTGGACTTCCGAAATCAGGGACTGAAGGTGCTTAGAGTAACAGGTTTCAGCTTTGGCTTGTCTCAGGGTATATCTACACTGGGCCTGGAGGTATGATCACGGCTTGCGTAGGCATAGTCTCATCAATCTAGCTAGTGCAGCTAAAAATAGCTAGGAAGTCGCAGTAGCATGGATCATGGCATGAGATATACAAGCCCATCTGGAGCCCAGGTAGGGTTTGTGCTGCCACATCTTCACAGCTGCTTTTAGCTAATGCAGGTAATCTGCCTAAACTGCAACCCCAACTCCCATGCTGTGTGGGGGCCAGAGAATCCTCTTTTTGTTCTGTGTTTGCAGAGGATAATAGAAATAAATATTAACAGCCACTACAGGTTGAACCTCTCTAGTCCGGCACTCTCTGGTCTGGCAACATCCATGGTCTGGCATGATTTTAGTTCGCCAGGTGTCCACTTATCAAGGGTGTGGCCAAGTTTTCTGTGGTCCCATAAAGTTTGTTTACAGCCCCCAGTCCTGGTTCTCAGTGTTCTGTGATGTTATTTAGCCCTAATTTACCCCTCAGGCTATGTCAAAACTACATTCCTCTTTTGAAAGAGGAATGTAAAGAAAACCGATCAAAAATGCAAATGAAGCGCGGATTTACAAACCTCGCACTTCATTTGCATAATCACGTGAGAGCACTTTTTCAAAAAGGGATTTTCGAAAAAGAAATCACAGTCTAGACAGGGTTCTTTCGAAAAAAAACAAACCCTCTTTCGAAAGAACTCGGACTCCTGAAAAAATGAGGTGTATGGGTTCTTTCAAAAAAGGGTTTTTGTTTTTTTTTAGAAAGGACCCCATCGAGTCTGTGGTTTCTTTTTCAAAAACCTCTTTTTCAAAAGTTTCTTAAAACCCCCCCCCCCCCCTTTTTCGAAAGAACCCATACTCCTGAAAAAATGAGGTGTATGGGTTCTTTCGAAAAAGTTTTTTTTTTTTTCAAAAGAACCCCGTCGAGTGTGTGGTTTCTTTTTCAAAAATCTTTTTTAGAAAGGACCCCATCGAGTGTGTGGTTTCTTTTTCAAAAACCTCTTTTTCAAAAAAGTGCTCTCACGTGATTATGCAAATGAAGTGCGAGGTTTGTAAATCCACGCTTCATTTGCATTTTCGATCGGCTTCATTTACATTCCTCTTTCAAAAGAGGACTATAATTTAGACATGCCCTCAATGTCTTCTCAGAACCCAGTAAGCAGTGGAAGCGTTGGTGATGTGGCTAGACCATATTGATCTCCCGTGGTCCAGCATATTCTCTGGTTCAACATCGGTCAGGTCCCGAGAATGCTGGACTAGAGAGGTTTAACCAGGAGAGGCCTGAGGCGGGCTGCGGCAGCTGGCGCCCCAGGCGGAACGTGCGATCAGTGCCCCCAGCTGCAGGGCCATCAATGGACTGACGTCATCATCGGACGCCCCGTGATGTCATCATTGGCCTCCCTGGGCGGCTGTGCCCTAGGTGGCAGCTGAGTACGTCTATAGTCATGGGCCGCCCCTGGGTTCAACCTGTACCACCAAGTAGACTCCCTGCTTTCCACTGAGTTTTGCAGTGAGATTTTGTTCATTAGTTTGTCATGAAAAGCAAAACTCTAGCTAAGCTGTGACGAGGGTCCTCGGAGAGAAACCAAAACTCCTGTTTAAGCTGTTGCAAAGGGATGACTGAGTTTCATACAGCGGCAGGCCAAACGGTTGAACTGAAATCCCGATGGCATGAGCCAGCGATGGAAAACAGTCCCACCCAATGGTGAGAGCCAGCAAAAGAGAAGAGCTTTGTAAAGGCTGTTTCAAATCAGCGCTGAAAAATCTCTTTACATGTTGATGGGAGGGGGGAAGTGAGTTAATTCACCTCCACAAGAGGGTTGTTTTCTTCCTGCTGGCCCAAGTCTCCCGAGGAGCAGGAGAACAGAGCCAAGCGCTTGGAGGGCTCTCCAAACTGCGCCAAGCCAGGAGCAGGCAGCTGGAGCTCTATTCAGCCCTGTTTCTGAAAAGCCAGGCTTAGCAGCTGTCCACTCTCCACGCAGGAGCCCAGCCCTACACTGTGCAGTGGAGAGCCCTTGAGAGCAAGCAGTACAATGTGACACGGCTGGAAATGTTTGCAGCTGCTCCAGACGCCAGCAAGAAACACTCTTGGCTATCAGATGAGTCTGAACTGCACTGTAATTCTCATGGACTGCCACGATTTCCCACCACTTCCCTTCTTAGGTTCAGCGGGGTTTGTCTTGCAATCCAAGGTAAGCTGCTCCATAGCGGGCTCCCACCTCTCTGTGAGGGGCCAAGCATCATGGTCTCTCTCCCTGCCTCTAGGCCAATGTGAGGGGAGGGGGTAAATGTTTTGGCCTGTGGCTCACCCCACTCAACACACACCTTTCCTCAGACTACCAGCCAACCACTCATGATAACAAAATGGGTGCAGGAGGGGATGGGAGTGTGGCATCTGGTCTGGAAGTTGGGTACTGAAGCGGGCTGGGAGTGGGTGGAAGGGAGGGTGCAGGAGTCGTCTGAGGGTGGGGGGGTCTGGGTAGGAGGAGGGGTGCAGGACTGGGGAAAAAGTGGGGTGTGACGGACCGCGTCAGGTCTGGGCACGGCTGAGGGCGTCCAACCAGGGCGAATTGCTCAAACTCCGGGCTCTTTACAGCCCCAGACTGGAGACCTTCCCAAATAGGTCACAAACCAGTCACACCGAGCGCTTCAGCTGCCAATCTGGCCAGCCAGAAGCCTCACGAGCAAAACCCCTCTGACACCCCAGCTCTTCCTGTGACCCAATCAGCCCTGGGCCTAACACACAGGTAAGGGGTTATAGAACCCAATCTCACCTACCCCGAACAGGTTCTTCCGGTCCCAAGAAACCAGCCACAGTTCCCAGGTCAATTTACACTCTGAATCTTACCCACAAGACCACTCTGATCCAGTTCTTTAGAATCTACAATCTAAAGGTTTATTACTAAAGGAAAGAAAAGTAAGGTTGTTAAAGAAAATACATTACATGCCTCGAATCACCCAGTTCTCGATACAGGCTCTTGGCAGAGATGTTATAAACTGGTATCTTAGAAGTCTCTGGTGTACATCCTATGTCAGGATGGCTCCACGGTTCTTCCTGGCTCATTGTTCCCTGCAAGGCTGCATCCGGGATCAGGAGCTAAACTCAAGACAAGATGGAGGGTGCCACATGGCACTTATCTACCTCTCTTGGCATCTTCCAAGCTGTAGCAGGTCACATGGTCAGTGGCCTATCCTTGTGTTCCCAGCCAACAATCATTATTCTGGCTGGTCTGCAGGCATCCAGATTCATTCTCCAGGTGGGTCTTTGGCATTTAGAGATCTGTTGTCCCTGGAACCCCGCTCATCAGCACAGCCATTGAGCAAACATTCCTGGCCCATTGCTCTGCCTCAGACAGAATTTTCCAGCAT